CGAGTTCTATGGCAACTCCTTCACAGTTCAGGCTACACGCCTTTGGAACTCCTTGCCCGATGACATCAGAAAAACATCCAACAAGTATGTTTTTAAAAAATTGGTCCGTAACCATCTATTGAAGACAAAGCATTTTACTTGATTCATCCATTTGATATGTATTGCTAAACAGACGCATATGTTCATAGGTATTTGTATGTACTAATTATATATTATGTATTTAAATATGTATATTTGTATGTATATATTTGTATATATGTTTGTATACGTCATATATGTATAGTTTATTTATTAGTAAATTGTATGTATTATGTAGTTAATTATTATTTTGTGTACTGTTATTTTATTCTATATTGTCGCACCTACATCAAATTCTCACCACTCCATGGGTTGACTGGTAGAGAATGCCTCAAGGCATTAAGTCCGCCCTTTGTATTCTTTTGTTTTAAGGAATGCAATAAAGAATAAATAAATAAATAAATAAATAAGGTGAGTGATGTACTCGCCATTGATGTTAATACCGTATCCTTTCCAGTCCAGAAGCTTGAAAACGTCTTCCAATGCAGCGGTGAAGAGTTTCGGGTATATAACGTCACCCTGTCTTACACCTCTCTGCAATTGGATAGTTTTTTTTAATTGGACTGTACAAGCACTTCAGCACTTCGATATACCGACAGTCAACTTGACACCGCTGAAGGGACTGCAGCACCGCCCAAATTTCGACGGAATCAAAGGCTTTCTCATAGTCCCCATACGCCAGGCATAGTGGCAAATTTTACTCCTCGGACTTCTGTACAACTTGCCGCCGAAGTGTATATATGTGGTCTATGGTGCTAAAGCCCTTTCGGAAAACGGCTTGTTCGGGAGGCTGGAAGTCGTCTGCGTGCGAGACAGCACGTAGACGCGGCTCAGAAGGGAAATCGGTCTGTAGTTCTTCAAGAGAGCATTGTCACCTTTCTTGAAGAACAAGACCACCGCACTTCTGCTCCACGCCTTCGGTGTAATGCCACCACGGAGGACGGAATTAAAGAGCCTCTGAAGGACTTCCAGTACCGGTTTTCCACCCGCTTTCAGAAGCTCCGCTGTAATTCCATCCTCGCCTGGGGCCTTGCCGTTTTTAAGATGCTGGAGAGCCATTCTAATCTCGCTCAGACTGACGTCCGGGATATCTTCGGAATAGTATCGGATAAGACTCGCTCTTGGATCGTTACTCACACTTGCGTGTGGCTCCAACGATGACGTGTACAGCTGTCCATAGAACCTCTCAATCTCACTCAAAATCTCAGGTGCCCCAGAAACGATGCTGCCACACTCGTTCTTCAGCTTTGACAGTTGGCTCTTTCTGGCAGACAGATCTCTGGCAAAGACTTTGAAGCCTTGGTTCCGCTCGATCGCTTCTTCAATACAAGCTGTATTGAAGTTGCGTAAGTCCCGCCGCATGCATTTGGAGATCTGTCTGTTCAGTTGCCTGTATGCTGTCAAATCTGTTGAAGAATGTAGCTTCATCTCCCGAGATTAAGAGTGTGATCGGAGAGTTTTTGTGTTCTTCTGCGGCGGGTCTTGCAGAACTTAGCTCCGACCGCATGGACAGTTTCCACGAGCTTGTCATTCATATCGTCCACTTCATTGCAGTCTTCTAGGCACTGAAAACGGTTTTGTAACTCGAGCTGAAAGGTTTCGGGACTTTGGAACAGAATACGAGGGGGACGGAGCGTTGACTTCATTAGACGAGACCTCTCCAACTTAACGTTTAGATTCAGTGTGCCTCGAACCATTCGGTGATCGCTACCAGTTTTCACCCTCGCGATCACAGAGACATCACTGAACAGTTGTCGTCTGGTCGTCATAATGAAGTCAATCTCATTTTTTGTCGAACCGTCGGGGCGCGACCAGGTCCACTTCCTGTGGGGCCGCTTCTGAAAGAAAGAGTTCATCATAAAGAGTCCCTCTTTCTCCATGAAGTCGGCCAGCTGCTGGCCCCTTGGGTTCCGTTGCCCTATTCCAAATATCCCTACTTTCAGCTCACCGTTCTCTCTTGTGCCTAGTTTTGCATTGAAGTCTCCCATTAACACCGTATATTGGGTTTTGGAGGAATGCATGGCTCTAGAGATATCCTCATACATTTCCTCCACCTCCTTATCGGGGTGTGTCGAGGTTGGTGCGTAAACCTGTATGACTTTCAGCGAATACCATTTGGTGATTCTGAGTATAAGGTACGCAACCCTCGTCGAAACACTCCCGATCTTTACAACGTTGTTAACGAGAGACTTGTGTGATTCGAGGATTACCGTGTCCTCCCCCTCTCTTCGGACTTCGGATAATCCTATAATATGCCAGCGCAACTTGTCTATCTCTTCTTCCAGCTCCACGATCTTCTCGTCAGTCCTCAGGGTGCGTGCGTTGTACGTTGCCAGGTCGAGTCGTCTAAGGTGGCAACCGAACCTCCACCGGAGATTCTTAGCACCCCCTGCCCCGCCGTTACCATGGTCGCCACCGTAGCCAGGAATAGCGGGGCCGCCGGGGACTGGGGGCCGTCTGTTTGTTGCTCTAATCATTGGGGGGGTATTTGCCATAGTTGCCACGCTTGGCGAGCGGGTTGACAACCGCAGTTTTTTTATTGTAATTTTGGCTATTATCAGGAAGATGCTGCTGCCCATCTCCTGCCTTGCTCCCTTTGTCGCCTTTTACGACACCCACGGGAAGATATGGGGTAGTGGATGTTCTTGACCACCACTACACGGCGATTTTTATGATAAAAACGACTTACTATTCCACAGCAGATCTCTTAAACTATACCTAGTCAGGTCATAAATTCTGTCACATGTTTAATATAAAATAATTGAAACAAGTTTATTCATTATGTAACCATTTATATACCAAAATGAACTTAACAAAACATAGATTCTTATGACACTAAAGTTTATTAAAAATGACCTCCGTGATTTTGAATACAGGCCTTCAATCTGCGCGGCCAGTCGTCTATCGCAGCACGAACGAGGTCCATGTCAATATCGGCGGCTGCCTTAATCAAGGATGTTCTTGAGTGACTCCAAATTGGGATGAGGCTTTGAGCACGCCTTTTCCTCCAAGTGTTGCCATATCTTGTAATCTAACGGATTCAAATCTGAACTGGAGGAGCGCTAGTCTTTGTGCCGGATGAAGTCGATTTCACGCGCCGCCAGCCAGTCTTGTGTGCTCTTCGCTCTATGAGCTGGCGCCGAATCTTGTTGGAATACCCAGTGCCTGTTATTAAACATGGTATGAGAAACAGGTTCCACAAGGTTCGTCAGGACTGTAGTTTGATACACAACTACATTCGTTTTTACACCTTTCTCACAAAAATGTACCTCTGCTAAGCCCCAATAAGAAACTTCCAACCATACCATGAGCGAGGATGGAAAATGACCTCGTTGGACACGCGGAATACGGTTGCTCGCTTCTTCACTACTGTGTGCGTACACCTTATCATTTTGTTTGTTGTAGCTCTCTTCTACGGTAAAAATTTTTTCATCCGAAAAAAGAATTTCCCGATATTTTTTTCCCGCGTACCGCTTCAACAAAGCGCGGCATCTCTTCAGTCTCAGGTCCATTAGACGAGCATTCAAACTATGTCCTGTTTTTCTTCGATATGCCCGAAGCTCTAAGTCTTCATTTAACACCCTTTTCACCGTGGTTCTGCTTAACCCCATCTGAAGGGCCAAGAGTTTCTGCTTACGTTTGGGATTTCTTTGAATTCGCGCCTTCACAGCTTTTATCACTGCTGGAGTCAGGGGTGTCACTTCCACTATGGAAGGTATGGAGCACTCCATACCTCAAGTTTTTCAAGGTATGGAATTCCATAGCTGAAATTAGGAAATAAATCGCATATTACTACAAACCCCATATAAATAAATCGCAAGCCCTTAAACCTCAATACCCCACATCTTATAGTTCAATAAATAAGTTGAGTATATACACTGCAAACTCTTAAACCTTAATACCCCACGAGTAATGCGAACAAATTTGAAAATCGCGCCACCATTTTCCATACCTCAGATTTTTACAAAGTGACACGCCTGGCTGGAGTCCTAACTGACCGAGGGCGACCACATCTTGACCTGTCATCTACACTAGAGTCTTCATTGTATCGTTTGATGGTACGATAAACGAATCTTTTGGTTATATTCAAATTTTTCAGTATGTCAAAAATTTGAATTGGCGCGTAACCGCAACGATGCAACGCAATAACTGCAACACGGTCTTCTTTAAGCGTCCACTTCATATTTAAAAATGAGTAAAATTCTAAAAAGTATACAGTTTTATTTTCATGAACAATTCGAAATTCGAATTCAATAAACTTTTTTGTGGCCAGCATTCTAAAAGAAAAGTTTTTACTGTGTGACGATATTTATGACCTGACTAGGTATAATTGTATTAATTTACGGCAACTTTGGTTATCCATAGCTCGGAATGCAACGAACACACATATGATTAGAACAACCGTCCCAACTGGCTGGTTGAAAAGAAATACTTTCGATCGACTACAAGAAATTTGTTAATATTCTAAGAAAACGAGATTGTGTATAAACTTAAATTTATGATGTAACTATATTGCATACTCTTCAGAATTAAGAAATTAGCATCAGTTGCACTAATAACTAACAAATTGCAATAATCAGTGCACACACAACCAACAAATAAATACACAACCAAATAGAATGTCACATAGGTAGATAATTATTTTGTTACGAGTACTCAATGCTTAAAATTTAATGTTTCAACACTATATTGGGATTACAATCTAACTCAAACTGTCCCGCCGAAACACTATTTTATACATTATTCCTATTGAATTTATAATTTTTTGGTGTAAATTTATAATTTTTCTAAAAGCGCTGACATGACATAATCAATCAGTCAAAATTATTTAATTTAGCCAATTAATTTAAAGACTTGAGTAGCTCAGGCAAATTGATAAATTGCATCTGATTGACTGATATTAATATGTTAATCATTTTCAGTTATAAAGATCAATTTGTGCCAATTCTGGAGAGCTGCGAGTGTCTCGCCTGTGAAAAGCATACCCGTGCGTACATTCGTCATTTACTAAATACAAGAGAAATGTTGGCATCAGTATTATTAAGCATGTAAGTGAAAACATATTTTATTTATTTTTCTTGACTTTTATCAAATAATATTTTACTGTTTTTTCGGACTGTACGAATTTGGCGGATGGGGGCTAGGCGAAAAAAAGTGTAAGATTTTTCCGTCAGGACCCCTTCTGGCGTAACGTAGACGGCCTTGGTCGTTATAAGGAAGTGAGCCATCTGCCTCGCACTTTTTCTTATCTCACCATGAAAGAAAGATTATTTTATTTTAAATGACGCTTCACTTTAATAGACATTAGAAATTCATTTATTTGTATTTGTTAATCAATAATATAATTCGTTTATCCATCTTTATATTATATAAAAATTACGTGTCACATTGTTTGTCAGCGATGAACTCCCCCTAAACTACTAAACTGATTGCAATGAAATTTTGCACACTATGTGCAGTTTGCTCCAACTTGAGAGATAGGATAGTTTTTATCCCTATAAGTGACCCTCAAATTTTTTTATTGCGAATTTAAGAATTTTTATAGGACACAGGGTCGTCGGAGAGGGCAGAACAATGTCTGCCTGGCCAGCTAGTAATAATATATGTACTACGCAAGGAGTCTAACCGAGTGTTCCACGGCACTCACGCATGTTTTTTTTTACTATTCTAAGCCAGCGCTTTACTACAATCCCACCTGATGGTAAGTGGTGATGTAGCCTGAGATGGTGAAGTGCACTGACTTAACTAAAGCCTATTATTCACTTTTGCCTTGAAGACCCCCACATTGTAATCGGAATCAGAATCCGATGGTGGAAGGGAGAGCGAGGAATTAAGTTATGCAATTCCTGCGCACACTCTTCCAAATGAAGATATGTAGAAAACCGAAAAGCTTGCTACTTTGCGCCTGTGTTCGAGGCTGGTAAGATTGGTTTTTGACCAGATTCGGGTCACCAATAAGCCTCTTAGCACGCTTTTTCATTGAGTTCAAAGCTGCTAGGTGGCATTTTGAAACACCAGTCCCTATATGGTAGTAGTACTCCATTCACGACCGCTGCGCTTTATATAAAGTAAACAGCTGCCCCGGCGTGAAGTACCGCCGCATCCTTGCAAGCACTCCTAGCTTCCTTACATCTGCTCTGGCCTTGAACTCAATGAACCGCCCGAAGTTCAGGTTTGAGGGTGTCTCAGCCCCCAAGAACTGAAGGCGGTCGGTGTATTCCAATGATACATTTCGAAAAAAAGGAGCCAAGGTGAGCTGGCTTCCTTTTTGCGTGAAGAGACAAGATTTGTTTTGGAAGCGTTGAATTTCACAAGATTGGTATCGCCCCTTTCAAAGACTGCCTATACTGTGAGATTCACACGCTCAACCATAGCTTCTCTTTCGGACTGGATTTGATTAATCGGGCCGGATTGGTAATTTCATACAAAGTTTTTTCACGAAACAGTGAAAAAATGTTTTATGAAACTAGCCATCCGCCCCGGCTTCGCACGGGTGATTTTTGTGTCTCGACAACAGCACCACTTATCAGATCAAATTGTAAATCTAAACCATTCTTGAATCAACATAATCACATACACAAAATTTCATCAAAGTCGATCCAGCCCTTTAGGGAGTTGAGTTACTTATGCACGGATAGAAGAATTATGTATATAAAGATTATCTTTAACCTTTATCTTAATTGTTTATCTGAATGATCCTTCGTATATTTATGTAAATTATACGCCTTTAAAAGGAATTGTAACTAAAACATTACGATATTCCAGTTGTACATGATTTTATTACTTGTTGTTTCAGACATAACCTTTATCACTTTGATCAAATGTTCTACCACGCTCGCCAACATATACTTACCAATACTTTCGAAGTTTATAAGAAACATATCATCAAACAATATGAATCGTATAGATCCTTAAAACTGGAAATGGACATAGCTGAAACTGAACCAGACCATTCTCTGCAAGTGAAGAAAAAAAGTAAATTGGTTGAAGAAGTAACCAATAATAATTATAAGGTTAATTGTAATAATATTTAATTTACCAACGAGCGGTAGCAGTATTATTTTAGTATTATAGTGAAAATGCTTTGAAAAGCAACCACTTAATAATTGATTTATTGATCAACTAATGCTAGGTTTCTATATTTAAAAAAAAATTGTCGTTTTACACCACATACGAGTGCATGAAAACCCCTTTTAAAAACAAAACACTCGTTCAACAACTTACAAATCGCTTAAAGTTGTTTCATTTCGAGTCAAGTTTAGTTGACGAACGAATAGTTTATAATAATATAAATTTCTTACATGCACCTCGCTTCGTATGTAAAACGGAACGTAACTGAAAACGAATCGGTTTTAAAATATACGAGGTGGACGTATGTGGTAACAACTTGGCAAGCTACAGCTAATTTAAAAATGTAGCATGTTACTAAATGTGTCCAACACATCCAGTGAGAATAGTTAAATAAAAAGTACAACTTACAAACATTTCCATTATTAATTTATTATGTTATTTAATAACTTTAATGTAATTAATTTATTTAGTTTAATATAACAAGTTCAATGTATATATAATTAACAGGAACCATGTGATAATTATGAAAGTTTTGTGTTATTGTACCAAATATTGCAAATTAGCCAATTTTTTATGCATCACTTTTACTCAGTAGCTTAGTACTGTAGTATTATACTGTGGTAGTATGTAGCACAAGGTGCACTATTTGTTTGTGTATTATTAAGTATTTTGGTGGTATAACTCCAAAACCTTTGTTACTTTTTGTGTGTAATTGGAAAAAACAACCAAATGTATGTTTTTACAAAACCTTTGTGAGTGGTACGAAATAATTGTGTCATAATACCTTATACAAATCTACTACGTCCTAATATCATCCCGTAGGTGGTATAAAAGGCCAATAGAACTAAATAAAACAAAAGATGGGTGGCATCTCCCTAATAACAACTCAAAATAACTAAAAAAACTGGGAGTTAGTAAGCCAAGCGTGGCAGAACTGTGATAAACTTCCCCTCTATGAGACAATCTGGGGGTGGCCTAAGTTCTGCAGAGAACTTCTAATAGCCTGTATTGAAATGAAATGAAACATCTAATTGATTGGTACGAGTAGGATTGTCTTGTTGTTAGAAAAAATTATTATTCTTAGTAACGCTTGCCATTAAATAATGGAATAATAAATTGCGGAAAGTACTTACTACTACTAGGTATGACAGCATAAAAATATTTATTTCAGATCATGCTATTAAAATTACATTTTATTAATTACGTAGCTGTTTCCCGCGACTTCGCCCGCTTGATATTTACTACATGGGAAGGGTTTTTTTTTGCGCAGAACCCTAATTATTTTTCTAAAATAAAAGTATCCTAAGTTACTCAATAACAGCAGCTATAAGTCCCGGCAAAATCGGTCCGGCCGTTTCGGAGATTAGCCGGAATAATCAGACAAAAACGTTTAAACTTCTTTTTTTGTTATTAGTACCGTATATATGCATATGCATTTTTCATATGCATTTAGTAAAAAGCTATTATTTTAACTTTCAATTTAATTTATTTGTATAGATAAGAAAATATTTTAAATAATTACTGTGTTAACTTTTATTAACAATAATAATAAAAGAAATAACAATACCAAATTAAAAAAAAACAACAATCAGAAAGCGAACTCCCGTCTACAAACTCAAATTTCAAGCCATTCAAACTGATTTAGTTTTCCAACCGTTTTTTCTCGCCGTGCAGGGTAAAACAGATGCGAATAATGTGCAAGTGAGATATCACGAGATCGGCCGCCATTTATGATTCTACTCTTTATTGGCACGCGTTTCGAAAATTCTATGTTTTGAATGTGATGAAAATATTAAAATATGTAACATGCACTAGCAGATAAATTAAGAAAAATACGATTTTTTGTTACACAAGCACAGACTGCAATTATTCTGTTAATTTTGTAAAAGACACAAAAGAACTATGTTTAGTTGAGGTTGGATAACCAATTTTTGTTTTTAACCGACTTTAAAATGAGGAGGTACTCATTTCTTTTTTTTTTATTTGTCTTACCTCAGAACTTTTTTCTAGGTGAACTGATTTTGATGATTATTTTTTTATTTAAAAGCGGGTGCTTTTCATGTGATCTCATTCAAGATCTGACCAGTACTTTTTGAATTATCCGTAATAATGCGTATTTATCATTTTATTTATATTGAAGTATGTTGTACAAAATTTTTGATTTTACTACTTGTTTAAGTATATGTATCTTACAATCGTATATTCTCTTTAAAGGATGCTATACTTTTTTGCAATGTGAAGTTTGATACGCTACTATAACGTATCAAACTTCACATTTATATTTTTTTTTAAATACTAGCAACGCGAATAACATTATTGATATTCCCGTGAACCATTCGAAGTTAGCTATTAAGTGCTTGTGCGGTTCACTTCACCCACGACTTAAATTTGCAGTCCGTACCTTTTTACTATTAGACTACTATAGCTTTAATTTGCACTGCTTTTGAATTTGGAAAAAGAAAAATAGTTTTCCATTGAAATGGTTAAACTGTAATTGTATTACTATTTATTAATTTACCTCGCTTTAGGATTTTGTCTTTTGACACTTTTTTTGTTTTTATATTAAAATATTGATGACTACATTTTGTTTTTCAAAGAAACGTTAAACAAATTCAGTGTTATTATTTTCCCTCTGACCGGTAAATACAACCTTCGCCATACTGCAGCGAGATTTGGGATTTTTTTTTATTTCCCAGGTAAGTCTGAAAGGGTAACATACTTTATATGTTGACAGACAGTAAACTAAGAAAATTGCTAATAGCCCTCCTCCTTTTAGTCCACTCCATCAGTATTTTAGGCACCCACTCTGTAAGTATAAAGTTGTAATCAAGGAATTTTTAGCTACTTGGCCTTCAGGTTGCCATGGCCTACAAAAAAACAGGTCTAGAGCCTTGAAATCAGACATCTTATTTTTTGGTCTGATAACGTTTTAAAATGGAAATATGATCAAATATATTTTACACATTATTGCGACTTTGTTTTTACAAAGACTGCACTAAGGAAGAGCATTGTCTGCTAAAACTATTTGCTTTTCGAAGTATAAGTTCGTGTCTTGAACAGTCAGTGACAAAAGTAGAGGCATTTTGTCTTTATACTAAAGAAAAACAGCGTCGTACTGCAGAAGAATCTCTAGGAAAAACTCACAAACGCCACGTATCATAAAAATTATGAATGCATCGCTGAATGGTATTTAGTATTCTTTTTTGCCTTGCTTCATTGCACAAACTAATAACAAGTATTGCTTAGTGTGATCCACGCGCTTCGATGTTATTAAAGAAACTATCCGTCGCTAATGAAAATAGGGTTATTTCTCTTATTCGTCCAGATTAAGTATATACCTAACCATTTAGCAAGAAACGCAGGTGGTGTTATTAGTACTATACCAGACATTATATTTAATCTGTGCCTATACCCACTGACCGAGTTGAGACGAAGGCGAGTCTCCTGCCACTCCTGCCTACTTGCAAGCTAAAGATTTTCAGTCCTACCTAATATTTGTCTTATTCTATTGTTTATTTCATCACCAATAATATTATTATTTAGTATAATTGACTTTCTTGAAACGTTCGACGTAATTTTGAACATAGAGGAAGATCAAGTAATAGGCTTTCAGGGGAGGTGAAGATTGAGTTTGTTATTATAAGAAAATAAATCATAATCAAATTACTTTTTTGCTCCACTATATTTTGTACTTGTTTTATAATCAGGGTTGCCAATTTTGCCCACTCGCTGATCTAAAGGTTATATCCCCAACTAAATATTTTTAGAAAAATAATATTAGGAATTATATAGTACAGAAGTAAAGAGAAAAATAAATACAGTTTCCACAATCGCCAAATAGCAGTGTATACATTACTCACCGCTCTATTCCGGTCCAATGTCATGGAGAGCCGATATGATTACAGACTGTGAGCCATTACATCCGAGTCCTAAGAGGTGACAACGCATCTGTAGCCTTTGTTTGATTGGATGCAAATGTCAAGACTTCATTAGGCACCTAGCATCAGGTAGACCGATCAGAGATTCCCAAACTTTTAAGATAATGGAACACTCACCAAATCTTTTATTTTACTGTACCCCACATCAAATGATTTAATATCATAGACAGTGCAATTGAAATATTATAATATAATTCTCGCTAACTACCCACGTACCTTACACGAGTTTAAAAGAGTTTTTATATAAGAGTAAAAGGTTCTTCTCATCACATATTTTGCGCTATTTCAAATATTTCTCCTATTTATGAAAATATTTAGGAAGCAAATATAAATAAATTCGCGGAACCCTGGTGACTTTTCCACGGGACCCTTAGGTTCCGCAGAACTCAGTTTAGAAATCTCTGAGGTAGACTGTAAGTTCGTTTGTAGCTTCAGTTTAAAGAAAAACTACAAGGTGATTTACAGACGGATTTTAGCCACCACAATTTTGGAAAAATTGAGTCTTGGAATAAGCTGAAAATATAGTTCGCATAAGATCGGACGGCCTGGTAGCACAGTGGCTATGCGTTTAGCTGTGACGCTATCTTATCTTCGATTCCCGCACAGGACAAATGTTTGTATGACCTAGACCTACACGACTTACAAATAATTGTTTCTGTTAAACTTTTTTGATATGTAGTAGAGCAATTCATTTCTCACGCATAACAGTAATGGTCCCCACTCACTGTCAGTTAAGCTGACATCAGTTCAACTGATGACTTCAAACGGATTTAATCCGAAAAAATTTCGACACACACGGTCAGTTCAACTGATCATTCCAACTGATCAGTTCAAACTAGGGCTGTTGATATTTTTAAAATATCGGATTTTCAATATATCGATAATTATAAATATATCAATATCGGAGTTTTATATATGGGAAACATAAGCGATATATTGATGCTTATTGCTTAAAAATGATTCACACAGTTTATAATTTAGTATATTTATTAAACAAATTAAATTATAAATGTATGAAAATGTTA